ACCGTATTCAACTCATTCAGTTGGAATCCAATCTTTGCAGATGCTTCGCCGATCCCATCGTCTTTGCCTATACTATCTACCGGAAATCTTTGAATGCTACAATCGAGCATACCGTATGTTGGCCAATCCTCCTTTAGAACGTTTTCGTAGTCGTGATAGTATCGCTACAACTAAATTCTCATGGCATTTAAGTCCAAAACCGCTGTAGAAGGCTATACAAAACCAAGCTAGACATATGTTCTACTCTGTTGCATGAGTCTCTTGCATGTGCATGTCGTGTTTGGGCTCCCCCAACTTCTAGTTATTTTTACAAATGAATCTCTCGGGTCTCAGCGCAATTTCCTGGGTACGTGCTCATATCCCGCCCTTGTCCTGCCATTAATAAAGCGTGAGCTCATCTAGTTTCGTTATGTTCTGTTTGCATGTGTGGTTGTGGTGGAGGAGTGAATAAAGCTTTCACTTACATGTCTTTGTTGCGCTAACATATCAAAGGAGCTATCTAGTTCACTGGTGAGGGTTTCTAAGTTTTCCATATCTATTTTTCTCCTAATTTTTCGGACACTAGCTTCAGGCGGGGTCGAAAGTGGGTATCTTTGCCACGAGATAATGGAGAAAGAGGTGGGCGGAGATTGTGAACTGAAATGTATTTTATACAAATACAATTATATGCTGAGATTCCATCACTTTAGCAAAAAAAGTGGAAGTCATTACCAAGTTAGAAAAAAATGCTTAACTTCGTAACCTTGATTATTTTGTCCTCTCCGGTCACTGAAGGTTGTGGCAAAAATTTCAAGGTTAGCAATTTAGTAGGCGAGTGGAATTTATGATCCGAAAGCGTAAGGGGCAGAAGTTATGTGACAATGCATGAGATGAAGGGTAAATATGGGTTATGGTTGTCACAATTATTTTGATGCCAAGGAAATAGACGGGCTCAAAAAAGGAAAGAAGCACTTTGCTGGAAGAAGTCGAAAGGGCTGTACCCTCTAAGCTTCTCTTATTAACAAATGTTTTGAATTTCATCCAGCATGAGGGAAAAAGCTTTTTATGGTGTTTACTCTTATGA